GGTTGAGACTGCCATCATCGTCAACGACAAGGAAGTGGCTCGCATTTATTCCGGGGCGCATGACGCGCACGGAAGCGGAAGCAACGCCGCAGTAGTGGACCTGCGCAGTGGGGACAATGTCTGGGTGCGCCTGCTGTACCAAGGCGGAAACCACGTTCACGGCTACTACAGCACTTTCTCAGGGGCGTTGCTGAAGCCGTCCGACACGTAAAGCGGGCGCTGCCGAGACTAAATGATGTGTGCTGGCAAAAACAAAAAAACAAAAAAACTTGTGTTGTCAATTGGGATTTTAATTATTCTTTATCAATTTTTGTAATGTTCATTTTATTTTTAAATAAGTTTAGTGGCACCTCGCTATAACGTGCCCCGCTATTACACGAGTTTGAATATAACATGAGTTATGATATGGCTCATAAAATTTCGTATATTCACACTCATACATGAATCTCTTTTTTAAAATAGCCTTTATGAAACAAAAATATGTTGTTGTTTTTTTAAATCTGGTACAACGGAATTATAAATCCTCTTAAAGTAGCTCAACTTAAACTAAACTAGACTAACTTTAGCTAACCCAACATAAACTACTCCAACTTAAACTAGTCCAACTTAAACGTAAACTACTCCAACTTAAACTAGTCGAAATTAAACTTAAACCTACTCCAACTTAAACTAGTCGAACTTAAACTTCAACTAGTCCAACTTAAACTACTCCAACTTAAACTAGTCGAAATTAAACTTAAACTAGTCCAACTTAAACTAGTCCAACTTAAATTAACCCAACTTAAACCACTCCAAATTAAACCACTCCAAATTAAACTAGTCCAAATTAAACTAGTCCAACTTAAACTAACCCAACTTAAACCACTCCAAATTAAACCACTCAAAATTAAACTAGTCCAAATTAAACTAGTCCAACTTAAACTAACCCAACTTAAACCACTCCAAATTAAACCACTCCAAATTAAATTAGTCCAAATTAAACTAGTCCAACTTAAACTAACCCAACTTAAACCACTCCAAATTAAACCACTCCAAATTAAACTAGTCCAAATTAAACTAGTCCAACTTAAACTAACCCAACTTAAACCACTCCAAATTAAACTAGTCCAAATTAAACTAGTCCAAATTAAACTAGTCCAACTTAAACTAACCCAACTTAAACCACTCCAAATTAAACTAGTCCAAATTAAACTAGTCCAACTTAAACTAACCCAACTTAAACCACTCCAAATTAAACTAGTCCAAATTAAACTAGACCAACTTAAACTAGTCCAACTTGAACTAGTCGAAATTAAACTAGTTCAAATCAAACTAGTCCATTTTAAACTAGTCTCTCTTAAACTAGTCTCTCTTAAACTAGTCCAACTTAAACTAGTCCAACTTAAACTAGTCCAACTTAAACTAGTCCAACTTAAACTAGTCCAACTTAAACTAGTCCAACTTAAACTAGTCCAACTTAAACTAGTCCAACTTAAACTAGTCCAACTTAAACTAGTCCAACATAAACTAGTCGAAATTAAACTACCCAACTCAAACACCACTCAATCACTGGCCAAATAAATTTCAAACTCCATTTTCTTTTTAAAAAGTCGAACTCCCCCATGAAAAACTTTAAATCCAAACACGACAGCTCCCCACAGCTCACCACAGCTCACTACAGCTCACCACAGCTCACCACAGCTCACCACAGCACAACACAGCTCACCACAGCTCACCACAGCCCGCCAAGCCCACCACAGCCCACCACAGCCCACCCCAGCTCACCACAGCCCACCACAGCCACCACAGCTCACCACAGCCCACCACAGGCTACCACAGCCCGCCACAGCCCACCACAGCCCACCACAATGAAGAGCGTAAAACCCCGGCTATGACGAGGTCCAATGTTATAGATCACACTTCTAGCGTCATATCGGGGTTCCACTCCACCACTCCACTGTATAAACATTTTCAAAGGGTTTAAGTGGCTCTGTCTGTGTTTTTTTTTAAATTAAAAAACAAAAAAAAGCTACCCTGATATAAGAGTACAAACTAAAAGTCAACAAAGTTTTAACTTGTATTCTTATCATCTGTAACTATAAGAGGAAAAATCTTGGCGCAGTGAACTCACCACACCCCCCCCCTCTTCCCCCCTCTCCCCCCTCTTTTCCCTCCCCCTCCCCCCTCTTTATTTTTTAAAATAAAAATCGCCCCTCCGGCCTTAAGTTCTCGAGCGTTTAGGAACAAGACCGTTGTGCATTTAACGTCAGCCAGTTTTTTTAAAGGTGGTGTGTCCAGATTCTGTTGACAAGGGAGGGCACTGGAGATAAGCGTTCGGCACGCAATGGCCCACATACCAGCTTGTATTGCTAAACCAAATTTAACATTTAGATCTAGTCGATATCTCGTTTTAAATATTATTGGTTACTGAAATATTGTATTTTAATACTAATATAACAAAAATTTTACAAACATTTTTAGAAATAATTTTAAACAAACAAGGGTATTAACTGACATTCTTTTCATGTTTCTCTTTTTGTTTTTAAACTTTATAGCTCTGCAGTTACTGTTACAGAAAAATACAGCATCTCAAAAGTTATGACTGAGATGCACGGTCTCTCCGACCAGAAAGACCCAACCCATAAATTTAAAATTGTACCCAAAAACAAAATGAACCGTGCTAAATATTAATTGGAATGGAGGATCGGAGAAACTATCAGTGTCGGGGAGACACACCTTCGTGTGTTTAACGCCCGGACACACCAGAGTACAAGCTCCGATCATAGAGAAAGAAAGCACGGGAAAAACTTGTGAAACTTTGAGCTTAATAATCAAGACGAAATTTTACAGTTCATACGTTTACAAAACTTCAACATTTTTACCGAGAAATGTAACAAAAACAACACAAAAACTTTTTTGTTTTGTTTTTTTGTTGTTTTTTTTTGGGGGGGGGGGAATTAGTCGTCAAGATTAAGAAATAACACTACCCAGGCCATTGCCAGCTTGTCACAAAATCTGGTCATTAAAGCAAATGATTCCACACAACCATTGCCAGCGTGTCACATAATATGGTCATAAAAATGATTCCATACAACTATTGCCGGCCTGACAAAAAAATCTGGTCACAAAATTGATACCACACAACTCTTGTCAACCTAATACTACCCGGGCTATTGCCAGCTTGTCACGAAATCTGGTCACAAAAAACGATGCCGCACAACTATTGCCAACCTGTCCAAAAAAAATCTGGTCCCTTCAATGACATGACAACGTCTTTTGCCAGCTCACCCCTAAATGTAGTAGGATTGTGTTTGGCGCACAGAAAGCGTAAAATAAATCATGAATGATTGTGGAATAAAACATTTTGTCATTAAAAAAAATCCACGAGTATTTTCAGTGCTAGTGTTTCCATGTTTCGCAAACAGTCAATCTTTGTCTATCTGTACTTGCTTGTTGTGTCATAGTCATGGCTTTATGGGTTAAGTTAAGGTCGGGTGGTTAAACAAGCAAACTTGAACAATGCCTCATGCTCAGCTAGCACGATCAACATTTCGTCATGTGTTCGTTAAATTTATTTTGCAGCACACTATTTAGTAATAAAAAAAATAGTGCGTTCAAACAAATAAATTTGACAAAAATGTGACGAAAATTTGATCGTCTGAACTGAGCATTACAGAGTTTAAAGAATTTAACTAAAAAAAATTTTTTTTTTGATCAGCTGATACAGACAGATCGAACTATTGATCGCATGCGGGAATCACGTGTCAGATCATGAAAATATAAAATTCTGAATATATATTTTTAGGTTATCAGCAATAATTTTAAATTGTTCAAACGGTGATGTATCAATACGTCAAATGATTACGATATACTTCCGGTACAGATCCAATGCTAAGCTACATACCCGAGAGTCTAATGAATTTAAAAAAAATATATATATTAATAAATAAAGTTAAAACAAATTCTCTGGGAACTTGGCTGTTGTGTGAGTATCGTCCATGTTCTGTGTGTGTCTATGCTCACTACACCAGGACACCTGACTATGTACGTACGTCCCGTGCGCTAAAGCTAAGACTATAGTGTTGATAAACTCATTTTATAGATAAACATGTTAAAGATTTTTTTTTAAAATCTTTAAAAATATAGAGATGCTCTAGACTGGCATCTAAAATTCAAATAATCGTATGTTGTTTCGTTAGATTTGACTTAAACAGTTAAAATTACTCCAACATTTTGTCTTATAAACAAGATGGCGTAACCTCTTGCTGTTTCCCACTGTTTTTTATCCGTGTTCCTTCATCTAATCACTTTTACTGAATTCACTGTGCAGTTCTTCAGTGCAAAAATGCATCTCTCCTGGGCAGTTAGTTTGTTTTAAAGCTCATGGTCGGTGGGCAGCAGATACGGTCAGGCGAGGGGGGGGGTAGCTTGTCCACTGACCCTATTGGGGAGGGGGGGTGAATGGGTAATCTCTTTCAACAGGAGAGACAAGCTATTTATTTACTAACTGACTGTGAAGCTTGTCACCTCTAATCCCAGGTGATTCGACCTGGCGGTGACACGTCACGCTGGGGGCCGGGCAGTTATTAAGTCTCCACACCAATTTGTAACACACGCCCACCACGCTGCAGTATCGATACTTCAATAACCCATCACTTCTGTTCAACGAATTAGTGATTTTTTTTTAAAAATGGAACTTTGTACATCATGCTGGGTATTATTTAGGGAAAATCTTGTTAAATGATAAGTAAGGTTAAAATGATTGTGTAAAATGGGACCATCCCTACTCCGAAATAAAAAAACAAACAAAAAAAAACAATAAACAACTTTGAACAACAACAACAATAACAACAAAGAGTTGCAACGCCTCGAACCCAAAGCCTTAATAAACCTAGCGCATTAGCACACCTTTATTTACTCTACAAATTAGAGAGCAAATAATCAAGCATGTCCGCTCAGTTCGATACTTCCACCCAACGATACTGACGATGTATATAATACGTGAAGCTCTGTTTCCCAACAAGTGCAGCCGTTCAATTAACAAACAAACTTATTCGTTAGTGTGTAACATATATACATATATATATATATAACAATTCGTGATTGATCATTGGATTGGACGACATTCAGAAGTGACCTCAATATTCATGGAACATCCGGGCTCTATCAAATGTCTTATCGTTTTTCTTACGATTTTTTCTCCAGGAGTCACAGCTGCAAGTGCTTTTATTCGATTATTTAGATTTATTTCTTTTATTATGCAGAGACAAATGAGTCAAAGTCTAATAAAGCTCTTAGACATCAGCTGTTGTCCATAGTTAAGGGATGTAAAAGAAAATCAATTTTTAAAAAAACCAAAACCAAAAAGAACCAACTCCGTCCACTGTTCAGTGGTGGCGTGCATTCCGAAAAATGGCGAGGTCTTTTTTTTAAATCCAATGCGCTGCTGTGGTATTCACTAGATATATATAATATATTTGAATAGATAATACAGAGCCGTTCTCAGGCATAAGCAAAATAGGTGCCCGCCTAGGGCGCCACTGCGCCGCCGGGTGCCTTTTTTTTTAAAACTACAACTGCCATGTCCATATATTTCAGAAGTACACATTGTCTGTAGTGGCGGAATAATCAATATAGCAAAGCGGGAACCGTGGCGAAGGCAGAATGGAGGGGCCCGCTACCTACGCTCCATGGGCCCCCCAAAAAGTCCTAAGAACGGTTCTGGATAATGGGATATTTTTTAACAGACTTCTGGGGACTACAAAAAAAAAAAGATGTATTTTAAATAAAATGTGCTTGAGTCATTTCTCTCTACTTATTTCTAGATTTTAAACGTTGAGTTAATTATAAACATTTTTTTTTTATCATTACACTGAAACCACGCCAGGACGCGGTCACCTAAAAACATGAATTCGGATGTACCGTGGCCGTCGCCTGGCCGACAAAATTTCGTGGGCTCACATTCATTCGCTCATGATTTTTGTTTTTTGGGGTTTTTTTTTTGTGGTTTTTTGTTCGTTTCCCTCTAAAGTAACCACCAGGCAACAGTATCAAAATATATAGCCCTATACTCCAGCGGCACAATCGCAAATCCATTAAAGACGAATAGCGCAACTCGAACACCGCAACACTGTATTTAAAAATCCAGTTTAAACCAATAAATAAAATTAAAATAGCTCACGTCTGTTCCTACCCCTACCCCCCCCCCCAAACGTTATGCGCCACTAAAGATACTGGTGGAAAACGTCCCGTTCACGCGATCCGTTAAAAACGCTGTCCGTCCGGTTTTAAGACCCCCCCCCCCACAAGTATCGCGTTACAGGGAGGTATCACTGAAGATAAATTGCGTCGGGTTTATTTGTTCAACATTTATTTTTCTTCAATTTTTTAAAATTATCTCTAAAGAGATTTTTTTTTTTTAAAGATTCGGAAATAATAGACGTTTGGTTGCGAGTTGAGGCAGGGGCGTCATTTGGGTAGGGCAGGGTGGGGGCATTAACCCCCCCTCCCCCCGCCACCTGAATTTGCAGGTTTTATTTAACTTGATATGTACTGTGGCGCCTCCAATAATAACACAAGCCGATTAAGTTTTGGTTTTGCCCCCCCCCTTCCGAAATTAACCTGAAATGATGCCCCTGAGTTGCTTCAGTTAAAAAATGATCTTTTGACAACTTGATTTTGTTGGTTCAACAGCTGACCGAGTCAGACAGGAAGCGAGTGTGGTGGGGCAGATACAACGCCGAGTCTCAGTCCACAACCGGCAAGCCCAGCCCGGCCGGGTCGGCGTCCAGCGGCCAAAGATTGCACGACGATAAGGGCGGCTACTCGGGCTTCCACGCGAACAGCGCTGCCGGCAAGAGTGGTGGTTCCTCGTACGAGGCTGACCCCAAGTACGGGAAGTACGCCGAGAAAGACCAGCGCTGGGGCGAATCCGAGTACAGACCTTTCTCCGGCCTTGACCCCAGCGAGTCGTGGCCAGAAAAGTCCAGTAGGTTGACCGAAGAGGTGAGCAAACGGTCAATGGTGTCCAGTTGTTTGTTGTCACCTTTTTGTTTAAATAATCAAACCGATGGTTCCCACACCCTTGTGTTTAAGACCACCAACGGCGATTCATTTGTTAGACCTGATGTCTGATGTGACAGTGGTGCTCAAACTTATGTACGGGTGGGACCTCACGACTTCCTTAATTTATTATGTTGATTTCATGTCACCAATCTTCAAATAACATAACACGTGTTGTCATAACCTCGAAGTCGTTCAGCTGCGTAGTATGTTCACAAGTTTCCACCACTCTACTTCACCGTGCATATTATAGACTTTGTCATTTCCCTGACCGGAAAACGTCATAGCGCACTATTTTTAGAAGGTCGGCGGACAAATATTGCTTAAAACATGGCGGCTTATAGTGTGTTCCAACATATCGTTCGGACGATCCTTGTATCTAGAGTCGCTGTTACATTTGCCGTTCGCGCAATGGAGTCTCATTTCAGAAAACAGAAGTAAACAAAAAATGTGTAAAATATTTCGCAAAATAGAGTAATGTCAACAAGTTTCAGGAACACTTTGCTAACATAGTAGCACTGAACAGTGGTGACATTGTGTCCGCGCTGAGTACCCGGATGATGAGTAATGATGATATCAGTTCTGTTAATAGATTTCCGCCATTAAATGACAATCCCTCTTGACCAGTATCACATTTACCGCTCAATAGAATGTGGATGGACAGAAAAAAGAAGTCCCCTTGGAGTGCGCTCTTAAATTATGGAACAGTTCGCCTTGGTTTTTGAGGGATTTCGGAAATGATTTTAAAAAGTCATTTAAGAGACATTTAAAAGACTTTTGTTAAAATTTAAATAGAGCTTATGACATCAGAGCGCTTTGAGCCTGCTAAAATAGCATGGACACAAGCGCTATAAAAATAACCAATCACAATCAATCATTATCATCCTCCATGGAATGACCATAGGGCAGACGTTTGAAAGAATCTAGAATCTAAAGCAACGTTTCTCAAATTATTTCTTCTTGTTGTTCGTGGCCCATTGATAACATTTTTATTTCCCTCCCTTGCACCCTTACCCGTTATCTATATTTGTAAAAAAAAAAAAAAAAAATAATCTTTTTTATAAAACCCCCATTTTTAAAAACCACCCGCCGCCCCACGGAAAACTGTGTGGGCCCCCCCCCCCCCCCCCCGGACCCTATGACACACAATGAGAGACGCTAATCTAGAAAAATCAAATCTTCATTTTAAAATATATAGATACATATTTCCTGTGTTAGAAAGAGATGAAACGTTAGAGAGATTTCGAGTCGTGTAATATTTCAATGGTGTGAACGAGCCGCCTGGCCCTACTGCAGGCGTGCACAATAGACGGCCCGCGGGCCGCATGTGGCCCGCCAGTACCAACTGTGTGGCCCGTGACGTAACGAAATATTCTTTATTCTTTTCTTAACAGCTTTCCCCCCCCCCGCCCCCCCCCTCTGTCCTATTTTCTTTGGGCCCGCACAAGCTTTTCATAAAGTATTACCCGCCTTACATTTTGAGTTGTGCAGGCCTGCCCCACAAGTTTGAACATCTAGAAACAGTGTTTTTGTTTTTTTTCTTTTTTTTTTTTTTTTTTTTTTTCTTTTTTTTTTTTTTTTTTTTTTTTTTTTTCGATTTCCTCTCTTTTTGTTTTTTGTTTTCCCTGTTGTTTAGTAAAAAAAAAAATGAGAGTGTGTAGGTATAAATTAAAATTTGTTGTGCAGAAATAATTAAAAGTCTGTTGATGATTCGTTCGAATGGCGTGCGTGTATTGTTGGTGAGCTTAATGGTTTAGCTGTTGGTGTGTGCTGTTTAGCTGTTTAGCTTTTTAGCTGTTGCTGTGTGCTGTTGTAGTTGTGACACATTTGGGTAGTGGAAGATTACTTTGCAGAGGCGTAGCTAAATGGTGGGGGGTGGTTCAAATGGGGGACAGATATCCCTGGGCGCCAGACTAGTTAGGGGCGCCAAGATGGGCTTTGATATTATTTTATTATCAAAATAATGGGTTTGAGAGTTGAAAAGGGAAAGGAAGGCACTTTAAAATGAATTTGGTCCCCCCCTAATCCCCCCCCCGGCGCCAAACACTCTAGCTACGCCTCTGGGACGGTGTTTTAGTTGTTATCGATTTTGCTAGTGAGTGAGTCGCAGAGAGAAAGCGGGAGGAAGAGGACACGCTGTTGTTCTATGAAGAACCATATGTAATGTGGTAGTGGTCTTGGATTTGTTGAATATTCAGCCCTAGACTTAACGAAGCGACTGAACGACTTATACACAATGTAGTTCTTAACAATATCCTCAGTAACTTTTTTTTTTGGTGGGGGGGGGGTGGGGGGTGTTAGATGTACTTATACTTTAGACGCCTTTAAATTTGAGACTTCCGTCATAAATAAAAGACGTGTGTCTTGTCTTACAAGCACACGTGTGATACACGTGTCTTGTTTTTTTGGATTCGCAGACATGAGACCCATGTCTTGTCTTACAAGCACACATATGAGACCCGCCTTGCCTTGTCTTACAGGCAAACATATGAGACCCGCCGTGTCTTGTCTTACAAGCACACATATGAGACACGGGTCTGGTCTTGCACTCATAAATATGAGACACGTAACTTGTCTTGCAGACATGCCAGTGTGATGAGAGACTGAAGATCCTTGAGATGAAAATGGAAGAGTTGCAGGAGGACAACAGTCGCATGAACACCCGGATGTGGGACACGGTGGACGTTGTCCAGGGAATGATCAAAGGTAGAGATGCTATGGACATAATAACAATTGTTTGTGAGCGAGCAGGAGATAGATAGAAGGGGGGAGGGATGGAGGGGAAGAGAGAGGGAGAGAAATAGGGAGGAGGGAAGGAGGGAGAGGGAAAGAGGGAAGGATAAGGAGACGGATGGGGGATGTCGAGAGTGGGGTACAGGGAGTGAACGGTGAGATAGAGAAAGGGAGGGAAGAGGTAGAGAGAGGGAGAGAGAGGGAGAAAGATGGAAGAGGGAGGGGTAGAAAAGGATGGAGAGGGAAAGAGGGAAGGAGAGAGAGAGGGAATGAGGGAGTGGAGGAGAGAAAGGCAGGGTGAGAGAGAGGGTAGACGAGAGATGGAGGAGAGAAAGGGATGGAGGGAGAGAATGAGTGAGAGAAGGAGATGGGGGAGGAAAGGGGGGGAAGACGGAGGAAAAGGGATGGGTGGAGAAGGAGGGAGGGAGGAAGAGAGGTAGAGAAAGGGATGGAGTGAGATGGGCAGAGAGGGAGGCAGCAGGCAAGGGAGCGTAGGACAGAGAGAGGTAGCCTTGGGGAGAGTCGCAGCGCTGTTGTTTGTCTAATTCCTCCATTGTTTGTATGACCAGGATCCTCCAAGCTGGGCAAACACAAACACATCGTCTCCTTCTCCGCCCACGCCGCCTCCAACATCCCGTACCTCAAGGACGCTGAGATCATCGTCTTCGATGACGTGAGTATCAACCACCTTCTACATAACCTTTAACCCCTGCTCACTCTCATTGCCGCTAGTACGGATGGAAGCAGTGCATTTGTGCTCAAATTAGGCTAAGTAGAGCGGATATCTAGGTTGATTCAGGAATAGGGATTTTAAAAAAAATAAAATTTAAAGTGTATATCCAGGCTTCCGGTAAATTGATAGCTTGTCCGTCGAAATCGATCAAGGCCATTTGAAACAACGGATTCTGGCTGGTTTTAATTTTTAATTTAAAAAAAAAATATTTTTTTTAATTGGTGGGTGCTCAGATGGCTGATGAGACCGATTCTGTTACTGAATGTTCTTTCACACTAGGAGCAAGGAATGGATGGGGCATCTCCAGGTGCAGAGTTAACCCGGGATTCGCCAGTAAAAATAAACATCACATCACGTGACAGCTTCACTAAATAAAACCTAGAAGTAAACCGCGTTTGAGAAATTTAAAGCTACAAAAAAAAAAAGTTTTATATTTTAAATAAATAATTTATTATCAGTTTCAATTTATTTAGCATGAAGTGTGTTGTCAACTCGAAGAAGAAAATAAATTATTTTTTAACGGGTGTACACGAAAACAGCTGTTAATGGGAGATAACCAATAAAACAGATGGTCGTCAATAGACTTGACCGAGTTATCGGGATTCCCCCCCAAACCCGCAGCCCGTCAGATCGCCCCAATTCACACGAACCATCTCGGTCCTTTTCAGGTACTTGTCAACAATGGTGCGGCGTACGACCCTCGAAGTGGAATTTTTACTGTCCCAGTTTCCGGTGTATACATCTTCTCAGGTAACTTTACAGAATTTGATTTGATGACAGTGCACTTTCTACTTCCACCTATAAACAAAAAAAATGGTGGGGCAGGGGGGGGCATCATTTTACTCAAAAAAAGAATGGTTTACCCCCATGGAATTTTTCCAGAATGATATTCAATAAGATATGGAACAAATTATCTACACAAGAAATAGGGAAAGGGGGGGGTGGGAGTGGCGGGGGTTCTACACCCAATGACCGAGAAAATGATCTATCCTAAATGTGGGAGAAATGATTTACTCCAACTCTGGGAGAAATTATCTACTCCAAATGTGGGAGAAATGATCTGCTCCAAATACGGGAGAAATTATCTACTCCAAATGTGGAAGAAATGATCTGCTCCAAATACGGGAGAAATTATCTGCTCCAAATATGGGAGAAATGATTTACACTAAATATGGGAGAAATTATCTACTAGAAATATGGGAGGAATGATCTACTCCAAATATGGGAGAAATTATCTATTCCACATATGGGAGAAAAGATTTAATCCAAATATTGGAAAAATTATTTAATCCAAATATGGGGAAAATAATCTACTCCAAATATGGGAGAAATGATTTAATCCAAATACGGGAGAAATGATTTCAAAATATGGGAGTAGTGAATTAATCCAAATATAGGACAAATGATCTACACCAAATATGGCAGAAATGATCTACTTCAAATATTTGAGAAATTATCTACACCAAAAATGGGAGAAATGATTTAATCCAATTATGAGAGAAGTGATCTACTCCAAAAATGCACACCAAACCCTTAACACGTCTGTATCATTTTCGTTCTCAGCGACCATCGTGTCCGGCTTCAACAGCACCATTGAGACCATGATCACCCTCAACGGACAAGAGGTGGCGCGGCTCTACTCCGGAGCCCACCAGAACCGCGGGTCCGGCTCCAACACGGTGGTCCTCAACCTGCGGGAAGGCGACGACATCTGGGTGGCCCTTTTCTACGGCAACGGGAACTACGTGCACGGGAAGTGGAGCAGCTTCTCTGGGTCCCTGCTGGAAACATATTGAGAACAGCTGCGGGGAAAAATTTCCACAACCTCCCTGCTCATAGACTTTTTCGACAACTCACCTACTTAGTGCAGCCGACATTTGAGACGCTTTGGGAAAAAGAAAGTTTTTGTGTTTTATTAAGATTTGATTCTAAAAATATTCGCTTCGGGATGGCCTGTTCGAAAAAAATAATCATTTCCGGTTATATGACTTCGATTCCCACTTCGAGTTTCTGAAAGGAAGGGGTCAAATGCTTCCGGGTTAATTATGCATTACTGGCCATTCAATTTTAATGTTGATGAAATTGATTTTCATGTATCATATGTGAAGTCATCTATCATTTTAAATAGGACTCCTATTCCGCTTCGCTTATAAATTATATCTTCGCCCCATGTGAAGGTTACGTCTTTCCTCTGGGCTACAACAAGGTCTGCGTTTAGAGGGTTCGGGAGGGACTTTACCAGGCTCTCAAATGTGCCCGACAATCAACCAAAACAAAAGTACAAGGTAGACTACATCATTCACCCAAACATCTCTTGACTGAGATACTTAAGCTCATGCACACTGATCTGAATGAAAGTGTACTCGTAAATTTAGTTGTACATCGTGCAATATACCTGTTTGATGTAATGGTAATGTATGTTGTCAATACACCTGTTTAATGTAATGGTAATGTATGTTGTCAATACACCAGTTTGATGTAATGGTAATGTATGTTGTCAATACACCTGTTTGATGTACCGGATACGGTCATGTCAGTGCCGGACTTACCTATAAGCAAAACAAGCTACAGCGTAGGGCCCCACATTCTGCCTGCTAGATGTTTTATATTTTTATTTGACCAGCTGATGTAATTTAAAACGGTAAAGGGGGGGGGGCGCCTGGACTTTGTCTAGCTTAGGGCCCCAGCCGGTCTAAATCCTGCACTGGGTCATGTGCATGGTCTCGGTATCATGCGCACTGGGTCATGTGCATGGTCTCGGTATCACGCGCACTGGGTCATGTGCATGGTCTCGGTATCATGCGCACTGGGTCATGTGCATGGTCTCGGTATCATTACACGCGTGTGGATATTTTTTAAGGGTTTTTTTTTTGCCTCATGCTTGTGGCTGTTTAGAAACATATTGTCCGTGTACTCGTTGCGTCACATGTGTACATAAATAGAAAAGTTTCATGTAGACTTCATACGGTGTTGTGTGTAGAGAAAGTTAAGTTGTTGTTTTTTTTTCTGGTTTTTTTTTTTGTAAAATTATTTAATATTTTTTAGCTTTGAGATATTTTGCAATATTTTTTTTGCTTTTTTTTTTACTATGACCCATCTTTAGGTGTGCAGTCTGGCCGCTATTAAAAATTAATGAATTTAATGGCCACGTTGTTTGTTTATTGTAAGTAGCCAGAGTTCTGATATTATTTCAACTTATGACAATAACATGATAATATTAGGCATATGTTTAGGTAATATATATATATATATATATATATATATATATATATATTATATATATTTTTGTCTTCCTGTTCTAAACATTGAGACACTGTGACATTAAAGAGATTTTCGAAAACATACTTTTTTTTTTTTTTTTTTAATATATTAGAGTTCTGATATTATTTTTAATTATGACAATAACATAATAATATTATGTATATGTTTATATAATATATATATATATATATATATATATATATATTATATACATGTTTGGCTTCCTGTTCTAAACATTGAGCCACTTTGACATTAAGGAGATTTTCGAAAACATCCTTTTTTTTTTCTATTTTAAATATATAGTATCTTCTCGTTTCTTGTTTTGCATCGTCTGCTGACGGAGGCGTCTAGCCGACACGTCCGTTTAATCGGCCCGTCTTTTCATTGCAAGCCTAAACCTACCTTGTTCCAGTATCCATTTTCCTGTGGTGTAGCGAGAGTATGAGCTGTGACGCGATGGCCTGGTAACGATTGCCATAACTTTGTCTTTCAATGTTATGCTATTATTGAATTTGTTTGTTTGTTTTTTTTTTGTTGTTGTTGTTTTTTTTACAATGTTATATTTAGGTTCATTTCAACCTTAAATTTGTAAATGATGTTACTTGTGCTGTCCCAGAATTATAGCCAATTATTCTCAGCGTATGGATTTAAAATGAACTAACATAAACTACAAGTTGGTTCTCACCCGCGTATCAACGATAATTGTGTTACTATTTTTTCACATGTTATTTTCATGAATATGTACCTATTGTTTCGTGTAAGTATTATGTTAATGATTCTTTTCCATATTTTATAGCACTTCAATTAAAAAAATCAAGATTCAATAATAAACGAAGGGTTTTCTTTTATTAATTTTACAAATTCATTGTTACACTTTCTATTAACATTTTCTCTGTTCCGCTGCCCTTGTTCCACTGCCCATGTTCCACTGCCCTTGTTCCACTGCCCATGTTCCACTGCCTATGTTCCACTGCATCTGTTCCACTGCCCTTGTTCCATATCATCTGTTCCACTGCCCTTGTTCTATTTCATCTGTTCCACTGCCCATGTTCCACTGCATCTGTTCCACTGCCCTTGTTCCATTTCATCTGTTCCACTGCCCTTGTTCCACTGCCTATGTTCCACTGCCCATGTTTCACTGCCCTTGTTCCATTTCATCTGTTCCACTGCCCATGTTCCACTGCATCTGTTCCACTGCCTATGTTCCACTGCCCTTGTTCCGTTGCCCTTAGTCATATGCCTTGTTAAATATATAATGTTTATTGCCCTTGTACATACATCTTCATGGTCAACAGTCCAAGTAATTTTCTCTCCCTGTGACTTCTGTTATTTGTTCGTTTCCATGGTCTATGACCTCATTTACATCCCTGACACGGTGAGGTGTCGGGGGGGGGGGCTCATCCCCACTGTAACGGTGAGTTGTCTAGGGGGTCTGGTCCCCTCTGACACGGCGAGTTGTCTAGGGGTCTGGTCCTCTTTGTCACGTTGAGTTATCTTTTTATTGCAGTTGCAGTGTAGTATTTTCTCTCCACAATGTTCAATAAGTGCACGCGAGTAACTGGTTCACAGGTTGTTGTTTTTTGTTTTTGTTTTCCCCATTGCAAAACCTGCTGGTTGAGTAGAAAAGTTAGCTATTGAATTCAAAAGATCTGAGTTTCAAAATCATCTCCATCAAATCCCCCCCTCCCCTCCCACCCCCCCCCCACCCCGACGAGACGGTTCTTTGTAAGAGGGCACCTCCTGGAAACTTAGAATTGGGATTATATTTTTTTAGAAGAAAACAAACAAATTAAAATAATAATTTGTCGTTTCTCGTTCTGTCTTGTCTGCTGAAGAAGTCATCTAGCTGATACGTCCCTTTAATTGTCCTATCTATTTTTTGTTATTTATTTATTTGGGCATTTTTATATAGCGCTTACCTTAAAGCTCTAAGCGCTTTACAATTATTAAAAACATGTAAACTAATAAAAATAAAAATGAGACACTAGGATAGTAACTACTATACCATAGAAACAATTAAAATGGCTATAAAACTTTGGCACGTTTTGGCCTATACTACAGGATCAACCCGAGACAGAAAATGAGGCAGGGCAAGGAGGGTGCATCACAGGTCATAGGCGGACCTAAACAGATGAGTTTTAAGGGACTTTTTAAAAGTGGAAGAGGCTTCACAATGACGGATGTGGAAGGGGAGCTGGTTCCAGAACGTGGGCCCATGGAAGTAGAAGGAGCGTTCACCGATGGTCTTAGTTTTGGTTCTTGGGATTGAGAGGGTTCTATTGTCAATGGAAGAGCGTAGTTGTCTTGTGGGGATGTAAGGAAGCAATGTAATGTTACAAGCCAGAACATTAAAATTTCTTGTTACATTATTTATTTAAATATTCTCAAGCAAGGACAACTGATACCAGTGCTAAAATAGTGACGATAGCCAAAAATAGTGTACTCATTTTCTTGCGCTTGCTATAATCTTGTGACCGCTCTCTGGCCATATCATAGCTCTGTGGTTGACTATGCAGTGTGCTTGTACAACTATTGCAAGTTCCAATCTATAGTTTCTATGCAAGACTTGTTACATAATAACATGGAGGACAACAAATACTTTTAAAAAAATAAATATATCAAGAATTTTGTTTTAAAATCTTATAAAAATTACAATTATTTTATTACAAATCTGATTGCATTGATACGTCAGAAGATTATATACATATAATATATATAGACATTAAATTTACAAAATAATCAAATAAGTAATGAAGCATAAATTCATATCATTACACTTGAATTTGCATTAATATTTGAAAATGATAAATGTTAATAATGGTTTTAAAAAACATAAATAAATAGCATTATACTTAAAATTATGTATATTTAAAATAAATATAGAAAATATATTTATTTCCATAAAAAAAAACGTTTTTGTAAATATTGTGGAATTTACTAAATTAAAAAATGTAAAAAATGTGATCTTTACAAATTGTTAATATTAATCAACGTTAAGCATTTTTTTTTATCATGACATTGACATGAGACATAATTCATCATTAAATGTACAATTTATACACCTGACATTACCAAAGTATACCAAATATACAAATGACATTTTCAAAAAATGAAACTTAAGATCTGTCAATGCATCAGGGTAACAGCAAGCCACCACTGAAAGTAACATCAATGGAAATGCTGTGCTTGTGAAACTTCCCTTTTCATCATCCATCCTGGCCTTGTGGCAAACCTCACATTATGGCTGGAGGATAAGTGTATTGTATAGCAGAGTCTCGTTTTCAGCTATTGCCAGATTTTTTTCACGTGTAATTCTTTTCTGGAAACCAGTCAGTCTAAATAAAATAAGATAAAATAAAGTTTATACACCGGTACTACCAGTAAACACATCAGATCACAAGAGACCTAAATAAAAAAAATGTAAGAATTTAACCTAATCCGTTCTTGGTGAAGAAACATAATGACATCTTTTCTAATTTCTAATAATTTAACATTCAGGGAGAAAACACACAAATCAGCCTTTGAATTAAGCCCATAATGTAAGAGATAAAGGGGTTTAGACGTACCTTGGTCACAACTCCAATGCAGTACTCTGCCAGCATGTCGTAGGCATCAAGACTGTGACCTTTGTCGATGAAAGCGGAAGTGGCGTCGTGGCCTCCATATTCCAACATGATATCATCACCGCCTGGGTGCTGCAAGGTGGTATAAGAAATATTCGTAAGAACTCTTTTACAGTTTAAACAGTTTTGTCACGTATATCGTATATCGTATGGGCCAAAGTATATGAGTTAAAGGTTCAATCAGCTATAAGTTTAGAAATGAAAAGCCTGGCTAGTACCACCGCCAACCCCCGCAAAAAGGGACATTTTCAGACCAACGATCTAAATCACGCCTGCACAACTCAAAATGTAAGGCGGGCCGTATTACATTAAGAAAAACGTGTGCGGGCCAAAAGAAAATAAGACAGGACTTGTGCGGGCCAAAAGAATATAAGGTCAGGGGAAAAGCTATTAAGAAAATAATAAGAATAAAGAGTTTTTCGTTACCTCGCGGGCCACAAAGTGGGTGCTGGCGGGCCACATGCGGCCCGCGGACCGTATGTTGTGCAGGCCTGATCTAAATGACTGTGCTGACCTGCCTTACTCTAAGCCGCCGACGGGCGACTGAGAAATGTGACCGCTACACTACTTAACACTAACCAAGGTTCATAATTCGCATGTCATGAATTTGATAGCCGTAGATAGCCATAGATACTTTGCAACTGTGAGATCTAGTATACATCGGTGGTCAGAGGCGGATCACAGAAGCACCACATTCCAGGAATGATTTATTTATGTATTTTTTTACGGTGCTGTTTAACAGACTACGGCCCTGTTTAACAA